CCTCTGTCTCTCTCTCTGTCTCTCCTCCCTCTGTCTCTCTTCCTCTGTCTCCCTCTGTCTCTGTCCCTCTGTCTCTCTGTCTCTCTGACTCTCCTCCCTCTGTCTCCCTCTGTCTCTCTCTGTCTCTCTCCCTAATCTCTCTCTGTCTCTCCTCCCTCTGTCTCTCTCCCTCTGTCTCCCTCTGTCTGTCTCCCTCTGTCTCTCTCCCTCTGTCTCTGTTTCTCTGTCTCTCTCCCTCTGTCTCTCTCTCTGTCTCTCTCCCTCTGTCTCTCTCTCTGTCTCTCCTCCCTCTGTCTCCCTCTGTCTCCCTCTGTCTCTATCCCTCTGTCTCTCTCCCTCTGTCTCCCTCCCTCTGTCTCTCTCCCTCTGTCTTTCTCTGTCTCTCTCTGTCTCTGTCTCTCCTCCCTCTGTCTCTCTCTGTCTCTCTCCTCTGTCTCTCTGTCTCTCTCTCCCTCTGTCTCTCTCCCTCTGTCTCTCTCCCTCTGTCTCTATCTCTCTATCTGTCTGTCTCTGTCTCTCTCCCTCTGTCTTTCTCTGTCTCTCTGTCTCTCTCCCTCTCTCTCTATCTGTCGCTCTCCCTCTGTCTCTCTCCCTCTGTCTCCCTCTGTCTCTGTCTCTCTCCCTCTGTCTCTATCTCTATCTGTCTCTCTCCCTCTGTCTCTCTCCCTCTGTCTCCCTCTGTCTCTGTCTCTCTCCCTCTGTCTCTCTCTCTATCTGTCTCTCTCCCTCTGTCTCTCTCCCTCTGTCTCCCTCTGTCTCTGTCTCTCTCCCTCTGTCTCTCTCTCTATCTGTCTCTCTCCCTCTGTCTCTCTCGCCCCCCCCCACCCCGCGACCTTCAGTCGGTCGAGTGACAAATTTGGCAAGAGGCGGAATGAGTCAAGGCTGCCTTGCCCGTCTGTCACCCACCCCGCCTTGACTGTGCGATATGTGTGTGTGCTTCTGTCTTTTGTGTGTGACGTGTGCTCGTGTCTGCCTGAATACATGATGGGTGCGTTTGTCATGTGCATGTGCAGGCCACACCACCCCCCTTTGTGCGCCGTGCCGGCCTTAATAGGTGCTCGCTAACAGCACTTGCCCCAACAGAGGTCTGCTGCGGGGTAGTTGTCTTGTGTAATGTGTGTGTGTTCTGGGGGGCAGAGGCTCAGTGGTCCACGCACCGTGCTACGAACCCAGTGAACAGAGTTTGATTGCCCGGCCACGGCAGACATCAATGAAAAATTTGCATCGAAACTTGTTCGGGGCCTCCCCTAGGTCGACTCGGCCTGAAATTAGTACCTGTTGCCGTGTGTGAACGTCAACAGTGGAGTAGTGCTGTGCTTACCACCCCGCCGCGCTGTGTGTTGTGTTCCGGCCTTAATAGGCGCTCGCTTGCAACAAGTTTCTTAGCAGGCTGCATGGCGAAACGGGTGATGCGTGATATTTATGTACTCATGTGAGATGAGGGAAGCGTGTAGCTTGTTTATTCCACTACAACTACGGCGTTCCTGGTTCAGTGCCAGGGTCATCAGAATCTGTTGCCTCGCTCAGGCTTTTCATAGGTCTACTATCTGTAGATATCTGCTGTTAAAATAGTGAATGAGAATCAGAATGTTTATTTATACTGGAGGAATCCGATGAGCTGTAAAGCTCTTTTTCACAGATGCCCAGTAGGAGCGTGGCATCAGAACGTTGCAACAGCAAACGACACAAAACACGATAGTAGTGTAAAGTATAGGAAATGTAAACAAATCACTTAAACATATACAAATGAAACAAACTTATTGTTTATCTTACCAGGTAAAGCCCACTGAGGTATTCACTAATTTTAAGAAGCGACCTGGCACCAAATGACAGCCCAACAAAGTGGCTTGTCGTGCGGAAATTTACAGCAGCTAAATAATCTAAATAATCTCAATGCACGTAAAAACAATCAAAGCAAAGTCAAAACTCCAGTAAGTACCGGGATGCAAATGTAACAGCCAGCCGTAACACCCCACCTCGTGTTTCATGCCAGCTAAAATAGGTGCTCGTTGACTGTTTTAACCAGCAGTCAGTGAGGGTAAATAACGTGTCTGTGTGTGTGCGTCTTTGGGTGGGGAGCGGTAGTGTAGCGGTTAGCGCGCTGCGCTATGAACCTGGCGACCCGGGTTCAATTCCCGCTCACGGCCAGTGACGATGATCTAAACCGGTCCCGGGCCTCCCCTAGGTCGACTCAGCGTCAAATGAGTACCTGGTGCGGTGTGGGAGACAAAGGCGGTCGGGCGTGGTGCTGGCCACCCACCCCCTCGTGTACCGTTCCGGCCTTCATAGGTGCTCGCTAACAGCACTTGCCCCTACAGTCTGTTAAGGCTACACGGCGGACCTTTGTGTGTTATGTGTCATTCGAGCGTGTCGCAGAATACACGTGCTGGTGAAGCCACTGCTGGATAAGGGCCTGCCCAAATGGGGGTTACAATTTGGCCATACTTCACCCACACTGGTCGGCGTGAACAGCTTGAGTGGCGCTTGTCGGTATAGCGCCGATGTATGTGTGCTCTATCGAGGCTGTTTAAAGAGTCACCAATTGGCACAAAATAAACTTACATTGCAACCCAATTGGGATTACACGTAGCAATAATCGTACGCTGCTGACAGACTAATAATGGCACCACAGGTCACCCTTGCAAATTGAGACTCAATCCTCTTGGGTTCTCACCCGGTTAAATAAAATAAAATCAACTTGAGAGTGGAACCCAATCGCAGAACAACCGTTAAAAAATACAGCGCTCGCCGCGTGCGTTCAGATTATGAATGCGTCATGTTTTGGCATGATGTCTTGACGTTGCACTCCATGTGCTTTGGGGGTTTTCTTCAGGAACTGAATTGAATGTTCAGTTCCTGAAGGAGTGACATCGTCCTGAACGACACGCGGGCACAGCGTGACTCTGGAAAACCCCGCACGGTCGAACGATCATTGCAACACACATCGTCGCATTTTCACCGGCAACCGATGTCGTTAACAACCCACGTAAGACAAGTGCCTGCTCGTGACCGATGCTCCATTGTCACTTCTTCGACGGCACTGACAGCTTTCAGTGCTCGAGCTGTCAATGCCTCATTCAGATCTCTGCACCCTGCTCCGAGTTCCAACTCATCGCGACCGTCACAACGGGCCTCAGGTGGCAGAGTCAACGGGGGCATTGCTTCTGGTCACAGCTTCTTGGAACAAAAAAAGCACATTGTGCCGATTGTCAAATCACATCGTGTACCCCCCCCCCTCCCGCCCCCCGCTTTGCCACAAAAAGAGACTCGCCGTCCCTTGATTCGGCGTGCTCGGCACAGGCTGTTACGCTCGTCAGGCGTTTGACAAATTCCGCGCCGTGCCGGTGAGGCCCCACGCGTTAGCGACGCTGCGTCACGTGGAATGCGTTAGCGCCACCTGATAATGGCGCGGAGCGAGCCGGTGCATATTTATTTGTGTTCGTTCCATGGCCGCGCGCATCCGTTTAGGAGGTTATCGCTCTCGGAAAAAAATGTTTTATACGCAGCAGAGCTCGCGACGAGTTGACCAGTTCAGTCGCTCGCTCACTCGCTCACTCGCTCACACATCGGGCGGTCAGTTGCTTTCTTATTTCTGTCTTGTCTCTAGCTCTACAACAAGTGAAATTCAGTGGCCATATGTGTAGATTTGTGCGCTGAACTTCTTTCGTGCTGCACATAGACAACCATGCTAATATGAACACAAAAAAGCAGAGTAAATGAACTTCACTCATTCATTCCTCCTCCCATGTTGATGACCCGGTCTAAGCGACCAACGGTTTCGTGTTGTCCACGCCGTTCTTCCATCACACGTTTGCTCCACCTCAGAATTCCCTCTCCTCGTCTCTTTTCCCCAAGTGTCGCAGAGTTACCCTTCCTCACTTCAAATAAACCCGTCACCTGTTAGTTGTTGCAGCTTTGCATCAAACTGGCACCTCAACGTAAGAACGACAGTTCACCGTCATTGATTCAAGCAAAGGCTGACTGCTGATGAGACACTGCGTGTCAAAACTGCTCCAGATTTTAGTGAAACAACGCTGCTGAAATGACGCACTCACAGAAGGCTGTGCGGCTAATGGGATGTGTTAGAAATACTTTTTTTGATTTTTATGCAGAGACGTGGATTCGTGAAGGAGACATTATCTACAGCCATCATTCTGTTTTATTTTCCACAACAACGCCAATTATTATTTTGAGGAATGCAACTTTATTCGCGATGTTTGTTGCCGGCCACCCGGCGTTTCAGACCCCAGGGCCTTGCCAAAATACGTTTTTATGCACGCACAGGTAATCGTGTTTTCAAACCCACATGGGGAAGATTATAGCTCGTGCATCATTAAAGTCTCCAAGAAGCAAAAGGAGGAGGCCCGTGGGTGCAAGTGCCATGGTCAAATTAATGGCCCACGCTTAATATAGCTTCCCCTGTGCTTAAAAAAGGGCCACATTTCCACTAACTACAACGTATCAGTCTCAAGGAATGATCGCACGAGTGCGTGCGTTAAAAGTTTTGCTCATCCATTGGTCAGAAGTGCTGGACACAATGCAGACTTCTCATCTGGTGGGATCCGAGTCTGAAACTCCTTCATAAACTAAACTATAAACTATTTTTAAACTAAACTATTTTTATCTTACCAGATTAGACCCACTGGGCTATGTAGCTCCTTTTCAGAAGCGACCTGGCCGCAAATAATAGCTCAATTAAGCGGCTTATCACATGTAAATTTATAGCAGCCAAATACCTTAAACCCATGTTGATTCTAAATGTGGAGAGAAAAACTAGAGGACCCGGAGAAAAATCCACGTGACCAAGGGGAGAACACGCAACCTCCAAATTTACAGCAGGCGTCAGGGTCAGCATCAAACCCATGACCTCCTGGATACCAAAAGTGTGACGGCGAATGCCGCGTTGGGGAATCTTTACAGAATCCGCGCGTGCGTGATGTTTTTCTTCCTTGTTTTTTTTGTTCTGCCCTCGCCTCCGCTCCGGGCTGGCTGTCGTCCAGGGTCCTGCAAGATGTGTTCGTGACCTTTAACCCGGAAGTGGTCGTTTGCCAGCTGGGAGCAGACACCCTCGCCGGTGACCCCATGTGCTCCTTCAACCTGACCCCGCGAGGAATAGGCCGCTGCCTGCAGAGCATCCTGGAGTGGCGGTTGCCCACGCTTGTACTGGGAGGAGGTACCACTCGCTCATTCATTCAGTCACTCGTTTAATCCTTCATTCATTCAACCAGTTTAGTCAGTTACTACCCTGTTCCTTGTTCAAGTATTCATCCACGAACCTTTCATGCTGCCCAATCTTTTACTGAAGGAGGCACCACCCATTCATTGGTTTAGCCATTCACACGTTCATTCATTTATTAAATTGAACCACTCGAATCGGTCAATTACTGTCGCATTTGTTTGTGCACGCGTCCATCCGTAAACCGTTCACGTGGCTGCCCACACTTGTGTTGGGAGGAGGTACCAACCAATCAACCACCCAGCCAGTCAGCCATCCATCCATTCATTCAGTCGGCAAGTTATCATCGCGTTTGGTTGTGGACGCCTCCGTCCGTTTATCTCTCTCGTGCTCGCTTGCGGGAGGTGCCTACTTTGGGCCTTCACGCCGCAGCAAGTGGCCATTAGACGTAATGGCCGTTGATTTTAAAGCCATCAATCATTAAATTACCCGCGCGATATGCCCATGATGGGAGCGGCTCGCTCGAAAATGTCTCGTGGACTATTTGAGTTGAGGTTTCGAGTAGCTTAATGGAGGGGGGGGGGGGGTAGAGGTGGGGGGGAAGAGGGGTGAGGGGGGGAGGTGGAGAGGGGGAAACGATGACACAGCGGTTCGCACACTGCACTATGAACCCGGCGACCTAAGTTTGAGTACGTGTAGGTACTCCCACCTATTTCAAGAGGTATGCCCGGCAGGTGTTTGGCCTCCCTGTTCAGTGGAGGCCATTGAACTGGCCTGTGCAAGTTATTTCAAGACCTTACACTTTTAACATTGCTGAAAATTTGAAGAGCATTTCTTAGATTCAGAAGGCAAGATCGCGATGCGGGCTGCTGCTGACGAGCATTCCGTCGATGGGGCACGGCTCGCACGCTCACGCAAAAAAAAACGTCACCACTGAGGTCACGCAATTCAGAAATCCCACTGCAGTGGAGGCCCTTCCACCAGCGGTCACGTGAGCAAGCAATTGCTGGGCTGTACCTTTACCTCTCTTTACGCCTCTCTCCTCCTTCCTTCTGGAGATTTCTAAAGCAAGCCTTCCCCTAGATTTGCCAGATGTGGCTGTTTCGCCTGCTCGGAACGTGTAATAAGTGTGTGTGTGTTGTAGTTATTTTAATCTAGATATTGTCTATGTGACATCTGTGTGTGTTGATGATGATGATGTTTGTGGGGGTCGGTGGCGCCAGTAGCTAGTGCGCTGCGCTACGAACCTCAGCGACCCGAGTTCGATTCCTGCTCACGGCCAACATCGGTGACGAATATCTGGGCCTCCCCTAGGTTGACTCAGCCTCAATTGAGTACCTTGCGCGGTGTGTAAGCATCACCACTGGGGAGACAAAGATGGCTGGGTGTGGTATTAGCGACCGACCCCCTCGTGTCCTGTGGCAGCCATCATCGGTGCTCACTAACAGCGCTTTCCCCAAACGTCTGTTCAGGCTATACGGGACATCTTTGTTTATATTTGTTTGTTGATGATGAACAGGAGGGTACCACCAGCCCAACACGGCTCGCTGCTGGGCATACCTGACTGCTGTCATCCTCGGACAGACCCTCTCACCTGAGATACCTGAGCATCAGGTACCAATCGCCCACCACAGCTCACCTTCCCATCGAAACTCATTCACCCATCCACCCACCCATCCATCCATCCTTTCCCACCCACTCATCTGTCCATTCTCATCCATCCATTCTCACCCACCGCAACCCAAATACCCACCCACCCATTTCACTCATCCACCCACCCATTCAACCACCCTAACCTACCCTCACTTGCACATCCACCCACTCAAACCACCAGCCCACCCACTCACCTACACCACTCCAAGGTGAATGCACTACCATCGGCGGTTCTAACTGGAGCTGGGGTGAGGAGTCGAACAAGCTCGGTAATCGACCTGCAATTGCAATAAAATATGTTTTTTGTGCTCCGATCACTCGGGGAGGGGGTGGGGGGAGGGGTGGCCATCACCTTCGGTCCAACAACACACATGGGAACACAGAGGTGAGACTTCCCCCCCCCCCCCCCCCTCGGCTGTTTTCGCGTAGTCCGATTAGGCGAGTAATCGAACCGCCGATGATAATCGGGAGGGCGAATTATTGTTCGTATTCTTGAATGGCCTCCTCTTTGACCTCCAAGGCTTCTTCCTGATGACCAGCAACGATTGTCTTATCATACCCCAAACACATAGCAATTCTCACTCGCAACCCCTGCCGTCTAGTTCAAATTTCACGACGACGGTCGCAGCTGCGGCAGGATTTATTAAAAAAAAAGAGGAGAAATTATTGATGGTAAATAAATTGCCAGTCGTTTGAGTTTAACCTTTGCGATTACAGCCTACGTCGGGGAGGAAAACATTGACTGCAGGACTTGCTTGCATCTTTACAGTTACCGTTTGTAAACACTGACATTTGTCTTGGTCTTGTAAATTATCTTGAATAATTTAGTTAATCTGGGTATATTTGAAGTCAAAACTGGTGCTCTTTTGTCGGATGCAATCGTGGTATGCCTCTCTTCTGAGTACCAGCCCATAATGTTTGTGGACATAACCAGAGAAATGTATCCATCTTCTCTCTGACCTCTGTGTCCTTGGTTCAGTAAGAACTAATGATCCCTGACAATTGATTTATTTTTTGTTTTGTTTTACCCTGAGTCGAGGTGGTTGGAGGTGGAACAGTGGGCACAGCGGTTAGGGCACTTCGCTGTGAGCCCGCCGACCCGAGTTCGATTCTCTGCCATGGCTAACATCAGTGGAGAGTATATAATCTAAATAATTGGCATGATTATTCAGAAGCGCAATATTTAGTTATACTGCAGGAATCCGATGAGCTATCTTTTTCACAGTTGTCCAGTAGGGGCACGGGGTCAGAACGGTACAACAATAAACCGTACAAATAAATACGATAGGAGTGCAAAGTATAGGAAAGGTAAAACAATCACTTAAAAATATATACACATTAAATATAAACAATTTGTAAATTTTGATTTAAAGCTTTCGTGACTGCAGGGATTCATATTCTTGGTTCTTTCGGTAAAGTCACGTAGAAGGGAAACAATAAAATAATAAAAATATAAAATATATTGTTTTATATTTATAAATATATTGTTTTATATTTTTTATTATTTTATTGTTTCCCTTCTACGTGACTTTACCGAAATATTTCGATTTAAAGCTTTCGTGACTAGGTGCCTATGTGGATGTGTAGGCTTTGACTTTAACATGGCTATTTCTAGGACCAATCACAAGCTAATCCCTCAGTTATTTCAATGCTAAATTCTCCTGTTTGATTTGTACAAGGTGCCTCTGTGAATGTGTAGGCTTTTACTTTAACATAGCCATTTCTGTGACCAGTCACAAGCTAATCCCTCAGCTATTTCAATGCTAAATTATCCTGTTTGATATGTAAACCCCTTTGTCAAGGTGCCTCACTTCTCTAAACCAGCTTAAAAGACGCTACGAATCTTAACAACGGTCATTGAAGCTCTATCGTCCCGACAGGTTTGTTCCTTTCACCTGAAGAAGGCCACTTGTGTTGTGGCCGAAACGTCGTGAGAATTTTACCGAAAGAACCAAGAATATAAACAATTTGTATCTTACCAGGTAAAGCCCATTTCAGAAGTGACTTGGCCACAAATGATAGGTCGACAAAGTGGATTATTATGATTAGGTCAGGAGCAGTGGTGCATTGGTAAGCACTTTCCCTTATAAATTCAGCAACCTGAGTTCAATTCCCGGTCACAGCTCACATCAGTGCTGAGTGAAACTCTCAATTGGCCCTGGCCACCCCCACCCCTTGACCTACTCGCACTGACCCATGTGATGAAGCAAGGTAAAATTGTTGTTGTTGTTATTATTATTCCTACTCGTGAAAGGACCCGCGTATAAACTTGACCATTGTTTCAACCGCCGTGCCGTGAAATCGAATCGAACTGACGATCTCTGGATTGCAGTTTTAGTGTGTGAAGCATTAACACACAAAACTTGCAATCTCTGGATTGCAGGTTTAGTGTGTGAAGCATTAACACCATGGCAGCATCTTTTCCAGGGTGGCAAGTAGACTAGTACATCCACCTGCTAACTGATGGAAAAGGAAAAAAACCCTCAACACATTTGTTAATAGCTGTGACCTGAAATGCAAATGCAGCATAAATATATAATAGGTGACATGTCGGGCAATGGCCCCTCCGTCACAGTACAAAAAAACACCTTCTTGAATTCGGTTAAGTAAGTTTTTTTTATGAACAGTGAACAATTCATGCTGGCTATTAGATTGGCACCCTATTTATTTGTTTTCCCTTGTAGAATCTATAGTTCTTTGTAAGTTTTCCATGAAACAATCACAATCGTACGCACGTGCGCGGATCACAAAGAATCAATCGGCACGCGCTCGGATCGATGCGTGTGTCATGAGCGTGAGAATCAATTTTTAGCGCGGAGTATGTTGCATTTCTGCTTAGGAGCCGTCCGCTCTCGGTTGAAGGGGGGCCTCGTGCCGTGAGACCATTGTGCAGCAAGTGCTAATCTGTTCACACCCCCTCTTGTCCCTGGCCATCGATCGCTCTCCTTGTTGTCATTCGTTATACTTTACCCCCTCGTCTCACGCACTCGTTGCGTTCACGTGATCCGCTTGATTTATTATACCGTGTGTGCAGAATCAGAATGTTTTATTTGTACCGGAGGAATACAATGGCCTACCAAGCTCTTTTTTCACAGATATCCAGGAATAAGATATCCAGGAGATACGGTTTAGAGGACACGCCACTTGATGAACTGACTGGCACTGACCAGCGTGGTGAAGTATGGTCAAATAACCTCCAGGACCCCCCGCATTGTGGGGGCGGCCCTGAATTGATGGAGTTCTGTACGTGGTCACACAGCGTTCACAAACCGGGTCAGGAGTCAACAGAGCGCCCCCCCCCCTCCCGCCTTTTTCAAGGCCTCTTTACACCGTGTCGGCTCTGGGGGTTGTTTGACCATACTTCACCACGCTGGTCAGTCCGGTTGGTGAAGAGTGGCAGCGTTGGAAGTTGCAGCGTCGAAATAGAGTGGACTAGGAATCAAACTCGTACCCCCCCCCCCCGGGTGTGCTTATTGCAGAGCGCTAATCATTATGTCACCGATTTATTTTGCTTCCTCTCTCAGTGTGTGTGTGTTTTTTTTGTGAGAGTTCATAGCTAAGAACATGCTCCTGCATTTGTGTCTACCAGCGTAACAAAAACCAAAAAAAATCTATCCCGATGGGATCTTCAAAAATTAAACCGTCACGTGATTATTTCTGAACTTTGAAAGTGGGCACTTTAGTTAACCGTCAAACTTCTCGATTCCTGAAATGGCTTATTCCAGATGGGTGGCGCGTTGCTCGCCCATCCGAGTTCCTGTTTTGGGGGATATTTTGCGTTCCCTTTCGGCCCCTTGGGCTTTCAAGGCGAAATATTTTACCCAGAAAAAAAAACCCCGGGACCTGGTTTCCAACCTTCCAGGTCTCGTCAGCATTCCTTAACAAGTGCTACCGAATGGTATTTGGTCTAGAAGCCCAGTGTTCTGGTGTGGCAAATAAAACATATTTTTTTATGTGGAGAGACAAAATTAACGTCTATTGCTTTATCCTATTCGCTGTAACGCTCTGCTGCCTTATGCTGCCCGAGACCAACTCACGCAGAGTGCACCCGATCTCGTCAGATCTAGGAAGCTAAGCAGGTGTTGAGCTTGGACACGGCTTGGACGAGCAACCGCAATGCCTAACAGGTTGCTATAGGCTGCTGCCATGGCGACACGGTGGCCGGCAGAGGGCAACGCGGCAAAATCGATCGTCGTACTGAACCGATGATGCAGCCGCGGTTCAATGTTTGGCACAATGGACTTGCAATCCAGAGGTCGCTGGTTCGATCTCTGGCGTGGCGGTTGAAACAATGGCACCATTTTCTTAACGCAACCGTCTCCACCCACCCAGCAGTATAAATGGGTGGGCCACAGTTCGTCAGCAGAGCGAGTGTTTTGTTGGGTACGCTGTGACTACTCCCGCATCTTCTATAATATCTGGCCGACGTGTGGAAGAGTAGGCCAAACGCCCCTCTGGAGGAGCTCCTCGAGGCTCCCTTCTAGCAAAGGCCCCTCCGCCAGCCTAGGAGTCGAGGAAGCAACATTTCAGCCCTGCGCCTTTCCCTTTAACTGTACAGCAATATCGAAACGACGTGAATCGAAGCGACGTACGGGGGTAGCAGTGGGTGGCGGATTTCGACGGCTGAGATGCAACGGATGACGAGAAAGGACATGCGACGACGGCGGCGATGCGAAGCGCGTGGGGTCGCGGCGACGCAAATCGCGGTAGCGGTGTTAATAATAAACGCGGTGGCTTGTTTTGCGAAACGACGTAAATGGGGAGGGCTGTAACTTAAATGCTCCCACGTCAAAGGGGGCCCCGTCGCCTTCACCAAACCCTCGCTGACCCGACGCCGTGAAGTGTAAGGGTCAGAGTTGGGGAACGGCAGCGGCATCCTTTTCGCCCGTCCCACACCGAATCCGGGATCGTCGCCTCCAAAATGCCCTCCTTAACCCTTTCACCCGGGGACGTTGACCGTG